AAAAATGCATGCCATTTAAGTAGCCATTTTTCACCGAGAAGGGTTTCTACAGGAGATTGAGAAGAAGTGTATTCAAAAGCAGACATCCTGTCGCGTCCGAGATATTAGAGGATTATTCTGCAAGATAATCACTATTACAACCCCATCTAAGTAATCCTTCCTAATCGGAAACGCCTTTCGGAATTTCGGCTAAAATTTCATTAAATCGGTCACTCACTGTAGTTCGACCGCCAAGAACGAGAATTTCCACCGCATGGTGAATTACGCGTCCATTTGTCTAATAATGACTCGGGCTACCTCCGCGTCTATCTCAATCCCTCTTTCTCCAACATTGTGCGGCGGTGACAAGATGGTGCCGAGATGACCGGTGGTGGTATCTTCAGTTCAGCTTAGTTTATTGAGGGAAATAGGCGTGAGGCTTTGTGTACCCTAGTTACGACGTAAAACTGATTGCGGTGTACAAAGGAGGCACGTGGGCTGAAATAATTCAAAGGAGCCCATACTAGTATGACGAAGTGGGAATGAGTCTCAGGGGATGAGCTCGGCCTCTCACCGCTCTTGCTTACTTTGAAACAAACATGTCAAGGTCCTTTTTAAAGCTTTTTATCAACGGCGACATCACAGCATCTGCAGGGGGAGTATTACATGGTTTGACCACTCGGACAGAGAAGGGGAACTTCTGCACATCCAGCCTTGCCTGCTGAGTACGCGGTTTTAACGGGTGACCTCTGAGGTTAATCGTGGTAGCGAATTTAAAAAAACCCTCAAAGGCCAGGCTGCAGTCCAATCTCTTCACAATGAGGAATGCTTGTAAGAGATCCGAGTGCAGTTGCATTTAACTCAGAAGGAAGAGTTTCGGATTCATTAGCCGGGTTACATCATGAGCGGAACTTTGGCCCCTAGCAATTTTCATGACTCTTCTCTGGATTATTTAGAGACAATTTTGATCTTGAACCGTCTATGATCTCCAGGCTTGTATGTCGTATTCCAGGCAAGGTCGCACGAATGTTCCGAAAGTCTTTGAGAAAACGTCTTCGTCAACGTCCGTAAATGCACAATTGATGGCGTACAATACGGACACTGCACTTTTTGCCACTCTCGAACAATGAGCGGATGGTTTTATGGAGTTCGTCATCAGCGCACCGAGGTCATTTTGGTCTTGGACGTTTCGTAAGGCTGCGCCACCCCGAAAGTAGTTTCTTGTGCTGACGATCTGGCTGGGCTGTCTAGACGAAATGTAATACCTTTACCGACGTTGGACTGCACGAACCAAGAGTTTAATCATTTCTCTAACCGATTTGGGTTCATCTGTAGTCCGTCTTCGTAGGCAGGGCCCGGATTACATTTCATATTTTCATGTCGTCAGCAAGCATTGCTGCTTTGCGGTCTAAATCTCTTGCGCAATCGTCCAGATATATTAGAAACAAACTGGGCTACAGTACTGAACCCTGGGGAACACCACTCTCGACCACAGCAGGATCTGATTTTACTTGACCAATGCGTACCAGCTGGTGCCAACTCACAAGGAAGTTTCCGATCCATTTGAGGAAGTCATCCGTAAATTACCTGGGTCAACATAAGAAGATACGATGTGCGTGGCGGACGTGAGTCCAGATTGCAGATACTGACCATACAGTCACGTTGCGATGGATTCGTAGGTGGCCGCCCAGGCATTATGTGGTTCCAAAGGCAGGTCATAATGGGGGCAGGTTGTACTGCTGCTGGTGGTTGCGGATATGATAGAAGGGCAGGGGGAAGGTGTCTATTCTGAAGAGTTTCTGTTAGTGATGTTCTGTGGCTGGAGGTGTGTCGGTCGTGCTTACGTTGACGTCGATCGATGCCCAAAGAAGATCATTCGTACCATAAAAGTCGATTCTGCGTGGAGTACTCCCATCCTTTGAGGTCGATTCGGACATGTCTGAGAGAGATTATCATATAATGTCCTGAAGTCGCTGACTCCGTTCGCTCAATCTGGCATCAGCAGTACCAGCGTCGCTATAGCATAATTGCTTATGCAAGCGCTCAGTAGCCATCCTTACGACATGGCCGTGCTATCGAGGCTAAAACCGCATCGCTTCGGCGCAGACAATGAAGACGAAGGTGCATTTCAGGACACCAATCTTCTTCTCATCATCATTCTCCTCCTCCTATCCCACCCTCTGTATAATTCAGAGTCAACCGGTGCGAACATTGTCTAGTTTTCATGCCTAGCTTTCATGAACTGTCAGTGTCGGGGTTTCCCTGGGGAATGTAAGTCAGATGGCAGTCCTGCATACCATCCACTTCGTGTTGGTAAGGATGGCGAAGTGATTCCGAGACTGAGGTGTTGCAGCCTGCCAAGGGACTGACCGGCTTTGAATATTCTAGTTGCAATTTCGTTCACGATCATATTTTTTGACGTAATGCTCGTGAAGTGGACGAATTTGTCGACGGGTGTGGAGCGAGATCCACCGATATCTACCGTAGATCTATTGTATACTTCTGTTGGCGTCGGTTAGTGTATAACCACTACCCTCTCCAGGTTAGTATTCAGTCCGAAGTTTAACTAACCGTGGCAAACCAGTACTCCCTGTAGGGGAGCATGTTCAATACCTACCGGGCTCTGAAGTCACTATAGACAATCGGTTTACCAACCTTTGCACAGCCGTTGCGAATGTGTACAGTTATTTCTAGGAGGCGCCTTTTATGCCGTCAGGGCCAATAGGCAGGGGAACGCAGTCGCAGACGCTGGTTGCGAATTACAACTTAGGACTGGCAGACGGAGGGTTATCAGAAGATCGTTGGTTCTGTGCCCGATACAAGGGAGTCATCTCACGATATCGTTCTTTATGACAAAGGTAGCAACCCCAATGCCTAGTAGTACTGAATGTAGGCGTCCGCTTTACCCACGTTCCTCACACGCCTCATTTAGTTGGCATTACCAGTAGAGCGGGACTCACTAAAGACGGGAATGTTCACCCCTGTCTGGTACTGTTTCTGGTGATGGGTTTAAGCGTAGATCAGAAACGTCAGACCAATAAAGTCCTTGTTTCAGAGATCGAATCTATTTTCTCTCAATGTTCACCTTGTTTCAGACCTGTTCGCAAATAATCACATCTCCCTCCTCTCCGGCTGGTTGCCTTTCGAACTGTCCAAAAGATAACGAACTTCAGGTGTGCTAAACGACGTAAGTAGTATGTTTCCGTCGATTTTCAGTAACCGTATAAATCAATATGTATTTTGCGGGAAATTCGGTCAAAAATATCCTTTCTTGTGCTCATTTGATAGCAAGTCCGTTTTCATCAGAATTTAGCTGGGTATTAATAAACTTTTCAATCCCCGAATGTATTCGAGCCTAATCTGCAGTTGTACTTGCGCTTAGGGTTTCCAAACTACAAGCTGTATGCCTTTTGTGTAGGGACAATCATATTTTTTCACGATACCACATAGGATTCATGCAATTTCATGATTGCTGTGGACTACGTTGCAAACCTCACTACCACCGATAGTAAACGGACAGACACGATGCACAAAGAATGGACGTTTCATGGTCCCAAAAACCTCATCCTTACAAACTTTTCAACACTGAAATACGTTCTGATCAACACGGCACGCACCTCCCGATCGACATACCTACAGCCTTCAAAATCTGGTCATTCATGCGTTCGTGCGTTTCTGGTAATTTACAAATATTCTAGGTGAAAGACAGTTTAACACCACGAAGGTTTCCATAGATGCCTAGTTAGTATTAATCGCTCAGTGACTACATTTATATATGCCTCATGCTGAAACCTGCCCCCCTACAACTGGTCACGTGGGAGATGCGGTGGACCAACACGGGGGCTTAATCAGGGCACAGCACGAGTTATTCGGTTACGCCCCAATAACAAGTGCGATGCATGGGGGGGGGGGAAGGTGCTAGCACACCCACGCGCAGGCCACGTCCGGTTTGCTTGACTCAGTCTTGACATGGGTCCAGGAGGATGAGGAAGTGAAGAGTGCAACAGACTCAGCGCAAGTCTACTATCACTATAGAAGCCAAGGTCCCTGCGCCCATCCTACTGCAGACACGTGGTGGACGCCATCGTTAACGAAGATTGAACTGTCGTACGCCAAAACAATGACGCTATCAGAGGGCTGACGCGTTGTGGTGAATAGGCCAGACACTCCCCTCTCCCTCAAACCATACTCACAGTCCTGCTTGCTACATAAACTACTTTCTTCCCAAAGTGGGACCAAACTTCCTACTCTTATTAAGGGTTAACGCTGGATGCTTTTCGACCCGTATGATCCGACGAGGTTCCAAATTCCAAAATAACTTGTGCAGAACGGAGCCGTACTCGGGAAATAACCAAACCTCCTGCAACTTTGCACTTAAAGCCGTGAATGTAACTTGGCGTCGGTCAAATTTTTGGACCTACAGGTAGGCTTGTGGACACGACTGCCTTTCGATAGAAGAAATTGGATTGTAGAATTCCAGGCATTCCTGACAGCCTAAAAAATCCACTAGCATTTTATTAGCACAACGTTGTCACACACGCACAGTGTGCTGGTTGTCGGATTGTCACATCTGACTGGGACTGCACACACTGGCAGACTCCAGTTACGAGCTCAAGTCATGCATCAAGGGCCCACGCTGGACGGACAGAGCGCGGAAAGAGTGTTGACTAATGAGTGAAGAGCTTTGACGCAGCTCCCAGACCAATGGTTGGTTTAGCCAGATTGCTTTGTCCAAGAAGTCTCCAGTTTCTCAAAAACATTTTTGTGCCATTTTTGACTACAAGGAGCGGCACAGCATTTTTTCTCAAAAATATTCACACGAAGAATGAGCACGCGATAGCTCAGTATCATACAGCAAGTAAGCTAATTTACAAAGTGATATGAAAAGAGGAGGAAGAGGGGGTAGAAATAAAAGACCTACAGTAAGGGGACATAAGGGTAACGTAGAATGGCGGGGGAGACAAATCACATGAACTTGGCGCTGTCCGGAGAGGGCTCATATGCGGCTATTTGCGTCAACATTAGGGAGGTAAGTAAAACTGAAATGATGACTAGAAGTAGACCAGAGATTAAAGTCAAACTTCTGTACTGTAGTATTTTGGTCGCGAACACTAGGGTTGAAGTTGGCCTCCAGCAGAATGGTGTATGCGCCCCTGTGGAGAAAATACGAAAGCAAATAAAAACGTTACTAAGTAATTGCAAGTAGCGAGAGTCTACGGGCTGAAATCATCTGAAACCGTCTTAGAGGACTGACCCAAGGAGAGGCTGAAGCTGTTTCCCAGATAGGAAGAAAAGACGTGATCCCACACTGAATTTGTGGCGAACAACCGCCCGCTCCGGCTGGTTGGCAGGGTGTATTACGATACTCAGTCCGGGTAGCAACAAATCCAGCGTATCAACGGTAGCCGAAATCTAGAAAAAAAATGCCCGAGCTCAACACGGCCCGATAGATTCATGAAAACTCTTTCCAGAAATAGGGTCCTATTTTTAGAACGTACCGTCCCCATGGACACCAAAGGGGAGAGGAAAAAGTGGAGTCCACTGACATCTTCAGTCGCCATCCGAACAACGATACTTCGTGGCACGGTATGCTGTGTTCCGGCAGCAGAGTGCTCGACGAACTCATCCAAGGTATCGGGCGATTTCTGCATGGACTGGCCGCGCACTGTCACAGAGTAAAAGCAACCTGTGGGGTGGGTTGAGAAATGGGCTTACTTTAACGAAAAAATCCACTCTATATTATAGAAAAACGCTCGATAATCCTAACACAACCGTTAAATAAGGGGAAAAGTGCAGAATGTGCAAGGTTTGTTGAACAATATGGTGGTCTTAGAATTGCAAACGCATCTTGTGGTAAATGGGATGACAAGATTACTTTTGGGAGGAATTTAAGCCCACTTCAAGAAAACTCCCACATTAAGCGCCAAACAGAATACTGTCGAGCAAGAATTCGGAGCACATAGTGACAAAATAACCAGACCAAAACGCGGAAAAGAGCGACCACCCTGTTTCAAGGGCGATTTTAAAAACTAGCATTACAACCTGGGTAGAAAATGGAAACTGTTTTTAAGGCTGTTGCTGTTCGCGCTTTGGTCGCATATCGACGCAAGTAAAACGGGCTTCCCGTCAAGCGGAAAAGGGCAAAACACGTACCGCTGATCACTTGGCAAGGCAAGGGAATCAGAAAGAGTGTCAACTCAGTTTGTTTTATTCCACAGTTGCAATCTTTGGTATCTAGGACAGAAATTGATCCTGTTATGCATTTTTATTGGCTGATGCACGCAGCATCTTCTTGTGTCAGTGTGCACGATGCAACTCCCATTAACAGCCAAGGGCAGATACACGCAAAACCTCAGTTTGCTCGAACGCGATGTCTGTCACCTCTCCTAAGACTTGGTCTCACTAGGAAAATTAAAGCCGCGAATGTGAAGACACAGGGGAGGTGGACAATTCTGAAGACAAAATATCGCAATGCGCGCTTTCAGCAGAAGACCTCCGATGTAGACAAGAGGAGGAACTGTAACACTGCAAAAGACCGGTACATGCCCTTGAACGGGATGTTAAGGTTACCGGTTAATTCGATTAGGAAATAATAGAAAGTTAAAGTAATTTAAACAAACTAAAGGCGTGGTAATGCAGTCATCCAACCTACAATCAGCCCTGCTAACCCCATATTTTGACGCCCGTAGTAAAATGTACTCGGGATGTCGCCCAATGGGGGGCGAGCAACGGTCGGAAGACCGCATCCATAAGAGCCTGACTCAATAGGTTCGGGCAACAAAATTCGGTGGATGCAATTGAGACAATTGTCTACGAGCCCGGCACACAGCTGCAATGACAAGTTATCATCCAATTTGCTCAACAATAACTGGCAGGAGTAAAAAGGAGACGAAGTTAGTCAAAGAAACTCTACCAGGGAAGAGACCACGCAATTTGAACTGGCCATCTCGTCCGGTTACTGCCTGTTCCAGGGGATAGGGGAAACCAACGCTGCCGGACTGCTGACGGCACTCAACGGCGGGTTCAGCATCACGCGACGGATAGACTCTCTGCTTATCCCCTACCTCAGCCTTCGTAATCATTTTCGCCTCTACGATGACGTCGGCCTCTGGAAATCCTGACAGAGATGTGACCTAGGTAAAAGGAAAAAACAGAAAGTGGACAGAAGTGGGGAAAAGGGCATGAAGATTTTAAAGACCGACAGGATTCCCGCCGGGGGAGGGGGAGAGGTGAGGCGGAGCTAGTGGAGCGCCGGTGTCGATCAGAAAGTAAAAGTAAAGTGATAAACAACAGCAGAAACCGGTGGAACACGCGCAAATAGGATAATGTACAGGCTAAAAATGCGCCTTATTACCTTCCCAAAAGCCGAGAACGCGACCCGTTTGCCTACAAGCCCCAGGCTAATTGAACCACCCTCCACTACCGAAACTGCATGTTCCATCAGGCTGACCAGCGTGCTTCCTTTGCGTATCATGAATTCGTATTCCTTCAGCATTGGCTGTAGGTAGTACTCACCTAAAAGGTGTAGAAAGAGAGACATAAGGAACAGTAATTCATTTTTCCGACACAAGACAGAAGGGAGGTATGGCATTGGTTCCTTGTATCGAAATAAAACTAGGTATGCAGTCTGCAGATGACAACTAGGCTCCATTTTGAAGCAGAGTAGGGGAAATTAGACACACTAAGCAACTACTCTGTTGGATCGACAACGCATGTCTAAATCTACTTCAAGAAAGACGTGCTATTTCATCAAAGATAGGCAGACTCGTTACGGACATAAGCTTTACGAAGCACAACGGCATAACCGGTGCCGGGTTAGATAATTTTCAATTTAAAAAATCCAACAAAAACATTCAGCAACACTGTGGCATATATTTTGAGTTTCTTGTAAAGGGGTAGTGGCATCGAAAGTTTCTTGGCATGAACACTTCGAGGCGCTGGGACACACTGTATCTCATACAGAACATCATGGATGCAAGTCAATTATTGGCGATCTTTAGTGGGTATTTTATGGTGGAATAGTAAAGTGATGCTCCATCCCTATTTAAGCAAATCGCATAAAAAGACAACTGGCTGCTTAAATTATAATCACAGGTAAAAGTACCTAGGCTAATAATGTTTGTATGGTTATTGTCATCGCACCTGTAAAAAAGACGTATGTAAAAGAAACAAGTTCGGAAAGTTTTACCATGTTTTAGGGACATTGTGTGCGATAATTTCATATGCACAGTACAAGTAGCTAAAAAGTAAACGTCCTGTGTCAGGAAACCTCATAATCAACGAGGTATCTTCCATACCGATGGAGATGCATCAGATCCTGCAGTTTCGACAGGAAATGAGCCTGTGTACCTCTGTTAGCGCGTATGCGTACATACGACCAAGAAACCAAACCACTGGGTATTGCGGTTTCTATGGGTCAGGTACCGTTCAGTAAGAAGCCTAATACCTATGATCATATTTTTAAAGAAGAATCTAGATAGTCGTGTGAGTACATGGATAATACGATATAAGGAATGTCTGGCCGCACTTCCAGGCACAACGGAGACGCATTACATTATTGAGTTGGACATGGGAATACGAACACCCCTCCCCCACTACTATAGGTGGCCTCGCGATAAATTCCACGGGGAGTTCCTACTCCTGTGCCCCAGCTTTAACACCAACGCTAACTTCCATAACACAAACCCGTATAATACTAATCACAACCCTCATGCAAACTCTCCTAACTGGAATCCCTGTAATACGGGGATCCATACTACTATGCCCAACCGACTTTTCCTAACCGACGCTAGCAGACCTAGTGCAGCGCTAAAGTAATTTATAAAAGGGGCACTTCAGACAACATCAGTTCACTTTTCCAGGCTTGATACCAGCTACACCTATTGCTTGACGCGGCAAAATAAGAAGCAAGCAGACTAGAAACAGTTTGACACTTAGGAGCCGACAACACACTCCCAGATGGGTGATTTAACTAATAAAAAAAACAACAGTAGTAGCGGAAGCGCACGCCAGTGTAAATAGAGTGAGAGGCGGAAACATCGACACCAAACTTCGTAACAGTAAGGGCAACATAAAAAATATATTCGTCCATTCTGAACCATGGCAGCTAAATAAGCCTGAGGCAGATATAACGAAGGGATAAGACTCGGTTGTACAGAAAGGGGAACATGTGTTTACCGGGAGGAAGGCCAACGTATCTGACAAGACCTGAAGGGCCAGTTGTCTCACTGCCACGGTAAGCACTCCCGACGATTGTAACAAGGGTATCTGAGAGGTAAAAAGGACAAAAAGTAAAGGAAGTTCGCTCACCAGGAAGTAAATGGGTTGAACCAGAATTACCGTTTTTAATAATTTTATCCTTGAGGTGCAGTTTAAAGTAAAATGAGAATATAACTTCCAATAGTTGGATTGTGGAGAAAATCACGCAAATTTTGACAAATTCAGTGATAGTCCGTAAAGCGAGTGTTAAGGGACAAGCCAAGCACATAGGGATGGCATGACAGTCAACGACCTCGCGGCCACCTGGACAAGGCGCGAGGCTGCCTTCGGTAGTGAGGCGTCAGATTTGAAAGGGGAGACACTGTGTTATGATAAATAATCACACTTTCTTCTCATTGTGAATCAACTTACTGAAACTGCCACTGCTCTGACTTTACGTGTCAGTAGTTTAAACAGGCTGCCTGTCCTGGAAGCCACAGCTTTGGTTCCCAAATTGGTGGGATATTTGACGTGAAACCGAGAACAGGACGAAATGTCTTACTAAAATGGTCCATGGTGTGATGGTTCCGGAGCACGACGGAGAAGAAATAATTCCTCAAGGCTGAAATCCAGTCACCTCGGTCTGGCCTTGCCGATCAAGCATGACAGTAGCGTGGAGGGTGGGACTGGTCCTGTACAACTTTTCCTCATTATAATCCAACGGGCTTAAACTCAGCCTGTCATATCTCATTGAAGTTTTTAGGCGGGGGAGGGGGTGGGATAACTTGAGTATTGAGTCAGATCGTTAGGTTTCATTGACTCCTCACAGGCAATCTCACGCGTAAGATGGCAGAATGTGGGGAGTCTGGTTCGGTTTCCATTAAGAAGAGGAAGGTGTGAGAAATGCAACGTAGGACAGGAGTGCCAAACTAGCCATCGCGTCCAGTCTCAGCCACAGACGCCTTGTCTAGTTTTGGCACCAGATGATGGGACGAGGGAGATAAAGTAAGAGTAAAGAGTGTGCAATTTACCAATGTTGCCAAACAGGGGTGGCATTGTACGAGGAGGACTGATCAACGACCGGACAGGCAGAAGAATCCAACCCGGTCATACCTGTCCCTAATTTTATCAAATCGCATTTCAAAAAACGCACAAAGAATCGACAGATGGCAATAGACAGCGAGCGCGTAAGGGTTAATAACGACGTAGGAAGAACCACCAGCTGCTGCAATTTTACGGCCTCATATTCACTTCAATATCGATGTCCTACTATCCACTTAAAATGCCTGGCTATATGCTTGAATTTGACGACTATTCAACGCAGGCATTTCACTCTGACGACGGGACGGTTTTCTTGAAAGGGTACAAAGGCAGAAAAGCAACGCAAGAGGCTTGGAATTCGGATACAACTACAGACGTCAAACTTTCCTGAAAATGTGTTTGCCTATATTTGGAATTGGCGTATTCTAGTCATGAGCTCCTGTGTCCAGCAGCATGCTGCTTTTAATCCATCTGTTCAAAGTAGCGTTTTGCATTCGAAACCCAGGACAGGCTAGGGCTTGGTGAGGCCCGCTCTCATGCTACCAGCACTTACCCAAATCTCCAGCCAGTTGGTAACAGAGGCAGCTGAATTTAGATTTTGGTCTAGGATCGTGAGCCGGGAGATTTAACACTAGCCCGAGGGTGTAGAGCTCCCGAAGACTGATGAGCTCTTATAACGTTAAAACATCTAGCTATGTATTCTCATTTGCATCTTGCGCGCCCATTCCAAAAACGGTGACTTACTCTGTAGAGGGTTTCCGGCCTCGTCAGCGAGTTTGAGTTCAACAAGGGCTAACTTGTGGGAACTGAAAGTCCACAAATGATCCGTGGAACCAGCCTTGTCGCCGTCAGGGGTTTTTTGAGAGAATTCGTAGCCAGGCTTCTGGAGGCGCACAGTGAGGAGGGAAGAGGGTGAGACAGAACGGCCCCCCTCGTGGAAGTAAACTGGTCCGATTTTGAAGACGCCAGTGGCATTTGTGAGGGTTCGCGTAACCAGGGTAGGGAGCGCTTCATTACCCATGTCCGAGAAGTCGCTGAGGTCGATGGGGTCCGTGGGGAGTGTATAGGACACTAGCCCCTCGTCAGCAAAGACGCTAACCAGAACCTGGAAGGCCAAAAGGGCAAAAATGTGATAAGAAAGGACTTATGAACATATTTAAAGAGGCTGAAAGGCCACATAAGAAGACATTAGGGTCAAGGGATGAGAACGATGTCTAGAGCCGAAACGAGCGCCAGATAGCCTAAATCATCAAATGGGCTTGATTCCGAATACTTGGATGTCACCTAATACCGCAGCTATTAAACTGAGGAAAGGCATCCCCAAGCATGTCCCGTAAGAGCTGCCACTGGCCCTTGTGGATTAGCCGACAACTCAACTGGCTCAGTGGCATAGGGTCTCGGGCAATTTTGCTTTAGACCTTGATGCGGTCGCGGTCTCACGAGGCAAACGTCGTAGGTGATGATCGCCTTGAATAAGCACAACTCTGCAGTTGTCAGCTTAGCAGGTAATACTGGTCAGAGATCGATCGTCTACAGGGACGCCTGCAGTGATGTGGTATGCCGCATTCGGAGTCGATTGTGCTCAAATGACAATGCCCCAGGAACCCTTCTAGTCTGTACCAATGTGCTGAGGCGGTTGAAAATGGGTAGAGAGGGTCCAATTGCAGTAAGAAAATCCTAAGACAGGCACAAGGATGTCCGATCCAAAGTCATCAGAAACGACGTTTGCTGAATCAGTTCCTGGTGCCCGGACGCCAGTGTGTGGAGACAAGACTTATAGATTTCCGTGGGAATACCGATCCCTGCGGACGCCTTGTTGCAGTGAAGCCTCTGTATTGCATTGGTAAGTTCGCCCACTGAAGGGGGGTCGTATGACCCTGCATAGGCTCGAGTGGGATAAGACTCCGCTGAAGAGGAGAACGAGGGTGTGATGGGTTGCTCATTGAGGTTTAGAAGGTGCATGAAGTGCTCACGACCGACCTTGACTGAGTTGTCGGCAATAAAGCCGCCAAGCCCATTGCGAATAGTCACTAGCGTTGAGGGGTTACTGCTAACTTGGCGGATAATTTGGTGGGTCTCGAGTGTCGCCAACGTTTGAGGCCTGCTCCATTGAGGTCGCTATTTCACCCCAATACTTCTGCAGGTCATTCCTATCCAATTTTGCCGTCATTTTCTGGAGCTGATGGAGGCGATCATAACCATTACGGAACTTGGCTCAAGCCGTCTAAGCATACAAATGCATGATTCTTCAGCTGACCCAGTCACTGCGGTGTCGCTGGAGAAGTCCAAAGGCATTCTCAGCTTTTGCATAAACATCTGACTTTAACGATGACCGTTAGTTCTCAACCTCCCCGTCGGCCCAGCTCTTAAAAAGGGACTTGATTACTGTACCTAGGGTCTCGGCGGTGCTGGCTTGTCGAAGTTTTGCGACATCAAGGTGTCTTGCAGGTGGCGTTTTGGGTGCGGACTTTCGGGTGTGTGCGAACGAGAACATGGTCAGACCCGAGGGCATAATCAGTTGCGGCACCAAGCATCGATCTGTTATTCGTGAACCCAGCCAAGAAACCTTGAACCAATCAGAATGTAGTCGATCTGACTTGCCGTATGGCCGTCGTTTGACTACCAGGTCGGCAGATGTTTGTTGTAATGCTGAAAGCCCGTGTTGGTGACACACTCAGCTCTGATGGGCAAAATTGGGCATCCTCTCAGCATTGTTGCATCGAGAACCAAGCCTAAAGAGGCCAGTAAGCTGACTGTTTAAAGAGTCGTCGGGTCCAGTCCCGCCATTCCAGCCCGCGGCAACAATCAGCAGATAACGGCGAGAGGGTTTCTTAATTAACTCCTGCAGCTGCGAGTCGAACTTCTCTTTATCGCTCTATGTCAGCTGATGTTGGTGTGTCAACAGAGACCAGAGAGATGTTCGTAGGCTGGCCTCTCAGTGACACGGAAGCCACCCGGTCATTTACTGGTTTCCATGCAAGTATTGCACGATCCGGTTGTATCGAGGGGACGGTCACCGGAACAGTCGCGTGAGTCGCTGTTGGACAGGCAAAATGGGAGTTTAACCCCAGGATCTTTATTTTCCGAGAGACTGAGTCGGGATTCAGACTTCAGACGGGCAGGAGACATCCACGTTCTACTGATGAAGACGGCGCGCAGTCAAACTTTAGGCACCTGTGTCCAAAACGTTTGTAGATTCCAGCATTTACTACCAAGAGTCCGCCCCGATTGAGTGGTCCAGCTCGCATACCATTGGCTCGCACCACTGAATCAGGGTTGCGGAGCGCATCGGTCCCCATGGACGCCGTAGCATGGATCGTAACACCGTAGTTGGACATCACTTTCATGAGTTTTCCTGGGGAATTTGAGTACAGGCGTGCCCCTAACAACCGCTCTAGTACTCACCGAGGTTGTCTCCTCAGGCGCTTTGGCTCAAGAACCTAACAAGTCAGCGGTGACAAGCAGACTTGCTTAGTGGTAGTTTACGGTCAACATGTCACAGTGCAGACACTGGTCTTTGCGGCACCTTTTAAGGCAGTCGGTGTGCCAAACTTTAGTCCTCCGCGCCCTGATAGCACTATCACTGTCGGCCCGTGACTGCTTATTCGCCAGGCCTGCCTGGTCAGTCACTTGCGAATCCATCGCAGAGACTAGCGAGCCAGCATCTGAAGTACCAACATGCACCAGGCATCATCGCCTTATCTGCCCGCATTGTCCTCGCACATTCTGTCGTCGCATGCACCTACTCGGTCACATGCGCCTGCATAAAAACCGCAGACATGATCACAACACCAGATATTCCCCCATCAACGCGTGTAGCACGCATAGACACCAACATCACACATCACCGGCACCCAAATGTAAGTGGAAAGTGTGCTCTTCGGCTCCTTTCGATATGTGGCTCCTCTGCTACATGTGAGATGCGTGAAGTCTACTCTTTTTTGTGAAATCCTGGTGTGTGCGTTTGGAGCCAGGTCGGGTATGTGGCGTACGCAGACGGACTTTCTAGCTCTGTCAGCCATGACAGCTGCGGAAACAGAGCACAAAACGAGGCCCTTAAAAACGGGCCACAGTACTGACAACGAAAAGATACACTGGCTTTTTCCTTGACCAGAAACCATAATATTCTGTCCAGTTTATATGCCTCTTTTTCCGCAAGGAAATAAAATGAAAATAACATGCATGGATGTTGTTGTGGAGTTTTTTTTAAGACACTAGAAGGACTAAACGTTGGCGGCCTTAGCACAGTAAATTCCAGCGAAAGTCATAAGTTACTAAGTGGTGAGAGTAAGCGACTTACCTTATCCACGGGTGGCACGACAGACCCGGTGAAGAAAAATCCCGGTTGCATGACAAAAACGGCAGAGAGGTCGCCAAACGCTCTCCTCAGCGCAGTGGGGCAATCTGTTGACAGGTGCGGTGTTTCTTTGGACAGCGGATCCGGAAAGACCTCTTCGACATCGTAGTGCGAACTATGAAGGCTGAGGGGACCGGGAATCCGCACGGTGCGGGTGGACGGTACGATGAGTGGGTAGACGGCCGAGATTGAATCCGGTGAAGGTCGAACAGCCAGGTGGACAAGGTCACCTGGAGCGACCCACAGGCCCGACTTCGCCACGTACTTCTCGCCGTGTTTTTCCCAACTGTTGCAGTTACAGATGAGTTTTTGATCAAGGTAGGGCTTATGGATAAACTCAGAGTTAGGGATATATATATCGGATTTTGGGTTACGGATTGGGCTTAGGCTTTCCGTCGGGAGAAACCTGAGTGGGTAAGTGTTCAGGGTGGGGATGAAAACAACCGTCTCAAACACAGTATGCTTCTATATATGCTCAATTTCAAAAACGAGCCTTTCGCAGCTTTCAAGTGCCCCTCAAGAAATTTCGACCAAAATTTCGAGATGGGTTTTTTCGAACTGAAAGGATTACGTGGGTGGTGTTGTAACATTGATCATCTTGTAGCCTAATTCCGAGATACTGCAGTCACGCCAGGATTCCGGCTTTTGAATACACTTTTTCCTGACTGCTTTCAAGAACCAAACCAGTAGAAAATGACCACTTGAGTAGCATGCATTTTTAATTGATTTTCGGAACCCTAACAAATTTAAATATGCAATAACCTCTCGCTATATCGCGCGTCGACTATCACGGTCTCGCTCTAAAGCGCATTTAATATGCAAGCATCTCTAAGTATAAATTACGAATTTCTGCAGCCAATGGGTCATTTTGTTCCTGGCACATGCTGTTCGGGTGGTTTGTTCAATCGATTCCACATACAACATGCTATTGGCGAATGGCCGAGAAACTACTCGATCAGAGTACGCGGTTAGGTAACCTAAGTTCAATTAGACTGTGTGAGGAATGTCTATAAGGTGGTGTAAGGGTTTATAAGGGCTTACGATGCATAAAAATAACCACAAAACATATGGTTTTTACTTCGCAGATTTTCACCTTTCGCTGGAGGCCCTGGAACGCAACCCCAGCGATCGCGGGAGGGGGGATCACTGTATTTCACACGTCGGCTTTGAAAAACTTAAATTACCCGATAATGTTCAACCCGCCCGACAGTAGTACTTGCGCGCAGGGTCTCAAACCACATGCTTCATACTTTCTGTGCAAGGAAAATCATACATTTCTCCACGCTACTCAAAGGAGGTCATACAGAACTCATCAAATTCTGCAATGAATGTGGACCATGTTGTAAAGTTCATAAGCGGCATAAATAAGTGAACAAATTCGATGCGGTATGAATGAACTCTTCCCGGTCTAAAAATTTCATAATTGCAAGCTGGTTAAGACCGAGAGACTTCCTTTCTTCAAGTATAAAATTTGACGTAGTTTGCTCCAAAATGAGTACAAGAAAGAGTACTTCTGCGTGTTTTCCATAAAATACATTTTTATTTGTAAGGACACTGAAAAACAATGGAAAGTATCCATACTGCTCGAGTAATCATTTTTGAGGAGCGCAGTTTTTGCAGACAGCCGGAAAGCAGTTCATTCAAAGGCCGGCACCCTGGCGTGACTGAAATATCTTGAGATTATGCTGCGTGATAATCGGTGTTGCAACGTCGCTTAAGTAATCCTTTCTGCTCGAGAGCAAATTTTAGAATTTAGATCAACATTTCACGAGATAGACCAAACCACAACCTACATCTCGTTTTCGGATAATCGACCTCTGAGGCATGTCTGCCGGCCGAGAAGTTAATGATACTGTTAAATAGCCCGACGATAACGTTATTATCAGAGGGAAAACCTTCTAGCTGGCAATGTAAACATCTCTAGCGCAGAAGCATAAACACTTATACCATCCAAAGCCAGACAATTCGAGATAATCTGCAACTTAAACAGTCAGTAGGCAATGCTATGGCAAATTTAGAAAACTGAACAACGCGTTTTCCAGCGGTGTAAGCCTGTTATTACCCCATGGTATGTTATAAAAGTATATTAGGCCGTAAAATTAAAAACCGGTTTGTTGTCCCATGGTGAATTGTAGGGCGGAACTTGCGTTTACTCTTCCAGGTAGAATATTTTGCTTCCAGTATCAAGCGACTTCTCTTTTTCTAACCATGTGCTTTCAACGGTCAAAAGTATGAAAGTGACATTCACTGACCTACCCTGGTTCAAGAACTAAGACAGAGCGGTTCAAGATCGATAGCGGTCTTATTTTGTGCACGCGAAACCAGTACTACTGGGGAAGGTCTAAAAGGCGTAGGTGCATTGTTCCCATTCTAACATAAGACATAACGCTGGTTTTCTGAGGGAGACAACAAAGTGGCAAATGAGTTAAAATCTTAAAACGCAAAAATGAGAGGGAACGTTAAGTCAGCAAGTGATGTGCAGCCACCAGCTTGATTTCCAAATACGAGGTCAAAACCCTGCTAGCAACAGGCTCAAGGTAAATAAATGACAACTACGGGTAGAATATACATGATAGACCAAAGGCGGCAAAATACTGAAAAGGCAGTGCGGATCGAAAGTGAATAAATTGGGAAGGTGGCAGAGTAACACGAGAGTCCTTTTATGGTAACGTAGGAGACGTGAACACGCGAGTCCCTGGCCAATATTGAGGAGAACGGCAACCTTGTACGAAATGCCGGATGAGTCCTAAGTTCCTAAATGGCAAAATCCGACTGTCCCTGCCTGATCGCACGGGGCATAGATAGCCGCGAATGGTTGTGGGCCTAGCTGCCTGGTCAGGCTGATTTATACACACAATCGAACTCTCAGGTTTTACATGCAGCATGTGTTCGGATCTTTTAGTTATAGTCCCGTACTTGATCGGAGCGCTTAAGGTCATCCTGCAAATAAGGCCAGGGAGCGGGAGTCTGCGCAAACGTAAAAGATTAGGATCTAACTGAACTTACGTGGATGCCAGCGGAGTGGTTGGATTCACAGCCTTGCCTGGTTTTTCGATAGCGGCCTCAACAAGCAAATGTGGCATGCTCAGCTCTGAAAGGCTGACAAACTCAGCTGATACCTCAACAGTGACATTGATCGGCAGTTCAGAGACCTGAAGTTGAACGCTAAAGGCCGGCTTCGAAACAGGTACATCTTTCGTTATATGCACAATGCTCGGTTGAGGTGTAGCCAGACGAAGGCAGTCTGTTTTAGCCTCGAAGGAAATCGACTGGGGCTCCTTAGGAAGACAAATCTAAAGAGAAAGAACCTAGATAAGTGTACGCATATCGAAGATAGCAACGCACAAAAAGAGTAAGTCATTAATGTAATTGCATTTTCCAAAGACTCGGACAGCAGTTTGTCCGGAACTCCTAAACCGGCTGCCGTAGGCAGGGCCATGCTGACAAGAGACGACAACTGCATGAGACACGGTCCCTTTGTGAAACTTTCTTCCGGTGAGGTGTAAAGGCAGAGGAATGACTCGGACTGATGGAGAGACCTCTCAAATCTCTGGCATAAATATTACTAACACCCACAATAAGGAGCGTAGTTTTGGACTAGCAACGAAAAAAATCAGGGGAGCGGCGTGTTTAGTGGCCAAAAATCGCAAAGAAACCGACCTTAACGGGCGACTGAGCTTCTGAGATGCGTCCCAGCGACAATTTGAAGTGCCAGCCGATTAACCTGCCCTCAAAACCTTTCCTTTTGGATTGCCTCCCGCCCAAATTTCCTTCCATCTTTTTCTCGCAGAAATCAGACACATAAGTTGAAGAGGTCGGTTGAAGGATCTTCTGGTCTCTGACATTATAACAGCTTCCTCCAAACGAAACCACAGCTAAACATGGACTTCCCTGAACTCCATGCTGTTGAGACAGACGTCTAGCGCAAAACCGTAGTATGGCGCCCTCTAACTACTACAGATTATGACCATGGTGCTTTATGGAGGATTCTTCAGCAATAAGCGAGCCATAGATTCAAATCAATCAATCCAATCCATGTAGGGTTTAACTCCGGGCAATGGGTCCTCGTGACGTTCCTCCGCGGCAACTTGGGGGAAGGAAGCCTTGTACATTGTGTGGGTGAGCAAAGTCAGTAGGGTGTCCCTCCCTCGGCTTAAGTAGTGTAACAAAGACGCGGTAGAAATGGACGGAAAAGCCTGATTGCATCACCAACTAAGGTTTTAGGGCTGCAGGAGTGGTGGTCAATTTCATAGCCTGCCAGGAATTCTGACATGCGTGACAACTTTTGCACAATCCTTTGCATTTACCCCCTTTTCCAGTAGCCGCTCTAAACGGCGGTCCTTGATGAATGAGTCGGAGATCTTCTGGTCTGGGAACCGGTTTCTATTGGTGGTAAGCCATTATTTTAAAGTTCAGTCGCTAGAGGTTTTCGGTTTGTTGCCCACTACTGCTAGTGGTAACAGTGCTGGGGCCAGAAGAAGCGAGTTCCAGGAAGTAGTCGCGAAGGCGACACGATTGGACAATTATCACATCACGTGCAATTACCCGCGATGTATTCGGGAGCTGCTAATTACGGTAGGTATGTAGTGACCTAGCAACTACATCCTAAAGATACTGAAACACTTGGGCAATCCACAGCTCTTATCTGAATTTGTCTCTGACGAGGGATTCGAGTGAGAATCCAAAAAGTCAGGCTAGTAAAGCTCTTGTTCCAGCGACTGTGTCTCTTTCCTCGCAACTATCGCTAGACTTAGACGAACGTAATGGTAAGAGGAATTGTTTTAAGTACAGCATTAGGAAGCGTAGATTGCAAAAGATAAACTCAGGCCAGTAACACACAAAATCACTACAAATCAAGCTGTTGCTTAGGGCGTCTTCTGCCATGAAATAAGTCGAAATATAGGTAGGTGGTCGATACGTCAAACCTCGGGCATTCTAATTCATCTTAATGATAAGATACAGGGAGGTGTTTCCTGGTGAAAGGTAGTAGACAGTGCCGGGGGCCAAATGGAAACTTACCGTGCTAACCGGTTTTGTAAACGTGTAGTGAATAGACTTCATTGGCGAAACTGGATTGGCCGGCACTTTGTGGCCATGCTTTTTGGACGTTTTATGGTCATCAAGAGGGGCGACTGTGAGATCTATTGGGCGGTCGAAACCCGCATCCAGCAGGGGTGCCTCAAGATGGATTCGGAAGCCGGTTTGTTCAAATCGTAGACTGGGGGTGCTCCTAACGTCCAAGTTTTTGTCAACGATGGTGATCAGGCGCGGGTGACTCGCCTTCTCTTGATCTGACGCTGGAGCCCAACACCAGTTATTGGCAGGAAAGGTTATAAGGGGAGATGTCTCGGCGTCGGGCCTCATGACCAACTGGACCTCATAGGTGCCCGGAAACACCGAGTCAAAGAAGTAAATAGCATGACGCGCACTCTTCTGAAAAAAATAAATACCAACGGTTAGAAAGACAAACCCGCCAAAAAGGATCGTGGACAGCTGGATTCAGGCATCACTGTGGGAGACTAGATTTAGTGTGAAAATATGCTAGAAAAAATAAGCGCATCCAGGCTCAAAGGACGTTGATTACACGTCTCAATTAAGGATTGGAAATGGACAAACCAACTTAATTAGCGAGGAAATCTATATAAAACTTGAATAGGAAATTAATGTCAAAACTGAATAGCAGAGGAAGAACTGTTGTTTTCTGGTTGACAAGCAATCTCACGTACCGGATCCGCTTGCACATAGGCAAAGTAAGTTAAATCATCCGAATTTCGGCCGTCCGAAGGCACGAGTTTGACGACGAGCTGTTGGTCGGCTGCAACAGTGCAGTCTACTGCACAGAAGATTTCACCCTCCACCTTGGCTTGAAATTGAGTGAAGAGAAGGTCCTTCGGTGGACCAACACTGAGGTCAACCTGTGTGAGGATTTGAAATTAGTCATTATGGTTGCGGTGGTAGCATTTTATCCAGAGAGTAGCTCAGTCACAGCCTAGGCTATCAATGAAAACAAACGGCCACGCGGTCGGAAATTATATTCGACAGATCCTACGGACCTTCTTGTCCTCTGCTGAGGAGGCTAGGTTCAAATCAAAAAAGGATCGCTCTCGAGCGAAAACGCTCCTCATGCATTGTCGTAATTTTCTACGAAAAACAAATGAAGAGGAAAGATACAAATAGCCTGAAAAACTGCAAAAAAACTGTGTGGGGGAGCTTTCGGGAGTCAGTTGGCAGAGCTCATAAAGCAACATGTATGACCGTCCTTAAGAGGTTAAAAACCCATAGGGGTTGTTATTTGAAAACGTAAAAACTCGAAGCCATTTAAGTTCGTCTGAAGAAAACAAGAAAAGCACTCACGAGAAGACTAGACGGTGAGAATCGAACGAAGTCGGAGAAGTTTGTCAGGCGAAGAGAGTGCTTCCCAGGCGGAAGGTAGGTGCAAAACTTAGCAGAGCTGTGATCAGCAGACAATGAGGCAACAGCGCTTTCTATCACATGGGAACCGTCGGCGAACTGAACAACGGGGAGGTCCTGTAGGCAGCGAGTAGGAGGGGACAATGGGCAATGTTTACCTCTAAAAAAGCAAGGATCCCAAAAAGGCTGATAAATGCAGTAAGAAAATTAACCTGTTGATTAATCTTCGAAGATGAGCTGAAGAGGAACATCCCACATAACTGCACAGCGGAGGGTGAGAAGTTGGGGAGGCGGTCAGTCATTGGAGTGAGTTCGACGACACTTTCAGGAAATTGGTATTTCGGAAGTGTTACCTATAAAGGTATATATCTCAAATTTAGGATATAGCTGGAAAAAGTCTGCCATGTTCTGATGCAACAAAGAAAAATAAGCAGCACTCACTTCTATCTTGTACTTTCCAGGCTTTGAGATCATCAGTTCATAAAGGCCTGTCTTATCCGATTCAGCAGAAATCTTGCCGTCCACTATGATCTAAGGGTGGAACAAGCACAAGGTGAAGCTCAACAAATATTGACAATAGAATTCCGGTAGTTCACTTAAAAACTGTTTGTTGAGAGACAAGGCTACCTCCGGAGAAATACCAGGAAGAATGTTATTAGCGACAAAGACAAGAATGGAATGGCCATTTGTGGCTTATTAGCTGTCGTCAGCCAGTCATACCCAACCCCGGAGTGTGGAACACCTGGGGCTCGATCCCGCGACCTGTTAGTTAGAAGTCCAACACCTCTAACCACTGAGCCACCGGCTCGTTGTCCTGTCAGTTGCGATCGAGAATGTACAATGGTAGAGGGGCGCTCACCGATCGGTAATAACATTCTGCCTATATCATGTGCCGCTGTGTGGCTGCTGGTTGAACTCGAGAAAAAGCCCTAAGGTACAATGGGAAGAGTGAGTTCCGTAAAAACGATCGGTGAGCGCCCCTCTACCAAAATACAGGAATGATGTATTTCGTACGACTGCTATAAGACAAATTAGTATGTCTGGAATAAACTGAAATGAAACTCTGTTTGCTGGAAGGACTCGCTTCACTGCGAACTGAGGGTCAAGTGAGCGAAGTAACGTAATTCGAAACACAGAACCAAAAACATCATGGAAATACCTTGGCGCCAACGATAGGAATATTAGAGAGCTGAACACGCCCACCGGAGAGATGAAAAGCAGTCACTTGAAAGCCTGGTTCTAAGAGAAGATCGCGGTGTTCCATCTGGGCTCTCAAGAAAGGCGGTTCAATTAGGAGGCGTTTAGACTTCAATTCAGGCGTAAGAGAAGTCTCGTGATGAGCGACAACAAAGTATTCTCCACCCGCCAGGCGAGAGAAAGAGAAGGCGCCTTCAGAATCGGTGAGGGCCTAAATCCAGGGAAGAGAAATAAACTGATGTAGTCTGTGGCCAAAGACGGGACGAATTTTTAAATAGTGCACTTCAGAGGGAGGCAAAAAGACTAGAGGTTGAGTTCAGGTTGTGCTGAAGAAAGGGCGAGGAGGATTGGCTAGACCACGAGCAAGGTTTCGAAAAGTCTAGAGTGGGAAAGGCGTCGGCTACATGGTTTCGACCCCCTAAATATTATACTAAACAGCAAATGGCCTCCGGCAGCTTTGCTGGGAGAAATATGACAAAACTCGGACAGGTGGGACAGCGGAAAAACGGCGGCACGAAATCACCGAGTTAAGGTTTGAAGTTTTGTGGCTCAGCCCAGCACTGCATAGCTCGAACGCCAGGAACAACTTAAAAAGAACGGAAAAACCACAGGGAGGACGCATATACAAAGTGGTTCAGAGAAAACTGACGGGTTGGACTCCAACGGGTCAACTGCTACAGTAAAGAGACTTGGAGATGGCTCAACTTGCGTAAAACATACCTGTACTAGCTAGGTCTCGGAAAATTAAGAGGTACTTCTTGAGAGAAAAAAAGAACATTAAAAAGACAAACCTGGCAAACGGGCTTCTCGACTATCTTTGGTAAGAGTTCTTTAGGAACTGGGTACGAGGATTTTCCCGGAACTTTGGAACAACCAAACTTCTCAAGATCAGCTTTTGTTAATGTATTGGCCTTGGAAACGTACAAGAGGACAAGAATTCTGGCGATACCCTTTCCGGCAAATGTCACGCTGGAACGCAGAACATGGCCCTGGTTAAAAAGGGAGGGGAAAGAAATTAAAGCCACAGTCATTGGGTTTAATGCAACCGTCCCATCAATGAAGCCAGAAACACAAGAATACATTGGAGTTACAAGAGCGAACATTAGTAAAAAAATATTGAGTACATGGAATACCGTTCCAACTTGTTTTCAACTTCACCAGTAAAGTGTGAGTTTGGCGTTCATCCCGCGCGATGTGGAAACAAATTCAGTCGCAGAAGACATCACTTTTATGGCAGAAACAATGATAAAGTAGTTATCAAACACTGGTGAGTCGGTCTCCGAGTCCCAGCTGCATGCACATCAGGATATATAACAGCTCGTGGACGAACCTCCCCCGGTCACACCCGGGCATTTTCCTTTTTTTCTTTTTTGAACGGTGCACATTCCCTCCAGTTAAAAATGCGACACCTGTCTGATCGATAAATGTGAGGCCTGAAATACTGGTAAGAACTTCCGACTGGTGAGCAAGGCTTAAATTTGTCGCACGGTGATGGGGAGAGTAATTGCGTGGGCATTTATGAGACCCCTTAAAAGAAACGAAATGCTCACAAGTGATCAAAATGGATTTGGGAGATGTCATTCCTGGTTGGCAAATTTGGTCTTGTTAGCAGAAGCTGGTTTCGTGGATCAGGAGAAAGTCAGGTTAAACTGCATTTACATTCATCGCAAAAGTACACTCGTGTGTGTCTGGCGGTACTTTGCTGTATGGACTTCCAGAAGTCGCAACCTCGCGTCCTGGATGACGAACTTGCTGAAAGAAGTTGCCGGGGGCTCAGCTTCCGGGGTTTCTCCTCTTCGCATCTCTGTTAGCTACTGCATGAGAGAACGATAGAAATGTCGTGGCGCGGTGTTGACGGGCATCAAGCGAATATAGAAAAGAATGAAAGCGAATATGCGCGTCCCAGATTTTTGTTGCAAAGAAGGCGAACGCGCGATCACTGAGACAGTCTGTGCATTAATCCGAGCTTTCGGTCTCGTACAGAATGCCATCGTCAAAGACTGTGAGAATTTGGCGTCAAATGAGCAGTTTTCTAGTCAGACAAAGAAGGGGACATAGGAGTGCAGGGGGTGGTGTTCGCGATAAGACTGAGTTTGCGGGCAACCTTGGCTGGGAATTGGGTCTCGTCTCTTGGCCGCGGGAACGGAGCGCGTGATAGCAGGGGGTATGTCAACATGTATGTTGATAACGCTGGTGTCAGACACCCAGGCCTCCAACAGTTCTCGCCCTGTCTTACTGCTGGCCCGCGCTACTATCCGCATGCTCGCGAAGTTGAATTCGTGGCCTTCCTCAGCGACCTGGCAGGCCTACGAAGTCGACCCGGATGGTCATATGTGGAAAGAACTTCCCAAAAGAGCAAACTGCGCCGACGGCAACCTTCAAGAACTGTCGGTGACTTGGGTAACTATTAAATTCGGATAGCGGCCATTCTAGCGGCCAACCAGGGGCACCATCAACAGCAAGGTGACCGTCAACATTGCGAGGATGTTCTTGGTTACAATGACATCCATCGACGCTGATTGGATGCCATAATTTTACCCAACAATGTCCCTGTCCATCGTTCCAGAGAAGTATGAATCTGATAACGCTTTCAACCGTAATCTGACTTTTTAGACAACAGCCAGCTTGCCTGAATGTGGCCTCCGGTCGATTTTTATCCCTGCCAACAGTCAAGATATCAATCCCATCGAAAATCTTTTCGCATTCATCAAAGGACATCGGTAAAAGCAAAAAAGAAACTTTCGATGCAAGAAAAGCTTGATTTTGTGCTAGGTAATCACACTGAGCAGTCCACTATAGGCAATCTGGCCATCTCCATGTCTGAGATTTAAATACAAATGGACAATCAACAAAGTACTGGTTTTCTGTACTTGCTATTATGTTTCATTATTTTCCCCTTTTCATGCGTTCCCCTTCCTTATGCGCCCTTATAGTTAGTCCTATTCGAATGATTTGTAATACAGCTATTTTCTGAAATTCTAGTTTTCAGCGAAAATTAATTATTTTTACGCTAGTAAATATTGGTTTATAAGCTCAACTGTGCCTTCTCTTTTTTTAAAAAAAGGTCGTTTTTACTGCTGTATGACTTTGGGAAATACAGTTTAGGCGGATTTTGCGTTATAGGGACTTTTTGTGTTAACTCATGGCATTTCATTAGTTAGCACACCTACTGTACGTTTTGAAAAATTGAATTTGCTTATCAGATCAGATTTGTTCTGTTTCTGACGTTTTAACGAGTTTATTCGACTCTCCACCTTCAAAGTGTTTAATACCGAAAATCGATCAGAATCTTAAACGACTGGCAAGGCTAGCCGGCTCTGGGCTGGCCGATTTTTCCTTCTTTCGCTGCCTCAGCTTTTTGGCAGGTGTTTGTGGGGTTTGACAGCCGTTGGTGTTGCGCATCTTCACCTCGAAGGAGGAAGAGAAGTTGGTTGTTTGTTTCAGCTTCCATTGTGAATTGGATATTCGGATCAACCGAGTCTGAGGCGTAGACAGACTATCTCCTACCGAAACCTCGGCAGCTGTCTACCAAACATGTTTGGGTGATGGGGACTGCAACTATATCGGGGAAACGGAGCAAGAATTGAAGTCCCACCTACATGAGCAGACTCGCGGCTCGGAGGCCAGACCCAAATTCGCAGCTTGTAACTCACATTGGAGAAACTGGTCGCACTTTTGACCTTCAAGGGCGAACATCTAAGGCCGAGGCACCCCAAAAGCAGAATAACTCAAAACTGAGGCATGGCATTCAGACGCCAACTCTATTAACAGGCATTCAGGCCTCCCTGTGGCTTATAAGGTCGCACCGGACTTAAGAAATCCGAATAGACACAGCCTTGCGATGAACTCATACAAAAAGAAAGCCAGAGTTACAAACATCCTCCATTGCGATGAAGACACGCAACGCCAACGGCTGTCAAACCTCACAGACATTTGCCAAAGGCCTGAAACAGTGAAGGAGGAAAATAACTGATTAGCTCAAGGCCGACTAGCTCGGCCAGTCATCTAAAATTATAGTCGATGCCTGGTATTAGACGCGTTGGAAATGAAGAGTCAATAAACACGTCTAAACGTCAGAAACAGGACAAATCTGTTCTGGTCAGTAATTTTAGTTTCCCAGATTATCAACCCGGAAATCTTACCTTCGCGAACATAAACTACGTTTCTCTTATTGACGTATGGTGAATATTTATGCAACACAGCTCAAAATATATAAAACAGACGCAGTGCCGTTTGCTAAGATCACAGATTTAACGATAGGTTGAGGACAGCAAAGATCTACAGGACCTGGAGCTTTTACTCTATGAATCCTGAATTTCGCACATAACCAGTTTTCCTGAATTACAAATGAGCGCTTGGGGACTTCATCCAGACGGTTCAGTTTGTATGTTGTAGGAACTGGGCCCTGCGGTCGGAGGGTACCTTTGAATTTGCGACACCGAGCAATCTACATAGGAACCAACTCACTCGAGGTATCTTGCGGCACCCCGATCTACGCCAGCGCTTACCCAACTCCAGGTTTGAGGAACCTGAGGTCCGAACCTGCATTCTTTGGTTATCGAGTGTTAGTAAGTCCTACGCTGGATCGTTGTCTTATCGGTTGTGATCGGGGATATTGACTATGATAGAAGAGCGCTCACCAACTACACATTTACCCTTTTCCAATTAAATCATTATCCTTATGTAACGAGAACGGGAAAATACAGGGGTTTACACAACCACCGCAGTAACACGCATCGGCAAGGTAAAAACTATGAAGAATAATAATTGTCGTGTTAGTTTACCAAGATAGATGAAGTTTATGAGACACCGCATTCCTTCCGACAAATGGAGAGTCGGGAAGCTTGGGAAATAGTACGTTGCGATTGCTTCAAATGTAGATACTTTGGTTACAGGGTTGAAAATCAAGACATTCTACAGAACTTGGCTTGTGGGTCAAGTAACCGACCCGCCTGTGTCGGGACGTGTCGGGTGGAAGTATGCGGGCCAGATAAAACGCAGAGAACGCATTAAGGACTTGGTGCACACATCGTTTGTCAAAAATATAAACTGTCCTAGCAAGAAAATTTTTGTTGGGCAAGACACTGGCATTTTTTCAAGCCAGACGCAGTCCACAAAGCTTCTGTCTACAACTTCATGAAAGCTGCCAATGAGGTTATTAATGGTAATTTGTGTAGATAATATGATTCATTAGTAGGTCAACTAACCTGCAAGACCAAAGGTTCAGGCATTCTGAAACTGCTTGTGGAGACAGTGATTTTGGTGCTAGCTCTGACATCCTCCGGGCCACTTAGCATTTTCGAATCACTGACAGTCACCAAGTATTCTCCCGGTGACAATGAGGAGAGGATGAAACTGCCGTCAGCAGTGGTCTTACTCTGAGTAATTACGGCGCTCGATGGTGATAGCGATTCTGCGACGGCCAACACAGACACGTATAAGTTCGGCGGACCGGTTTTCATGCCTGCAGTGGCAACCTTCGAGGGGAAGACAGGCGCGGTTAGTAGGGTGGTTAAAAAAACGTCATAAAAAGGAATTTATCAACACAAACACTTACCTGACCACTAACATCGAAGCCTGTGAGGAAAAAGACATACTCCTCGTTTTGCCCAGCGCCTGTGATTTGAATATCATATCCGTCTTTTGGAACAAAATTCCAGCCCTGTGGGGCAACCAGCTGAAGACGATAAGTGCCTTTGGATGAGACGGCAACTGAGTAGGCGCCGTTCGGTAGGACATTAAAAACCTGGTGGGGCGTTTGGTGAGAAAGGCTTTGTAGATGAATCCGCAAACTGGGCGCAAAGTTCTTAATTGGGGCTTCCGAATTTTTCCATCTGACATGTCCTCCAAAAACAAAATAATTCGGTTCTTCGCGGCTGTTCTCAGCGAGTGTAAACGCCCACAGGCTCGCGATTAAAACGGGTAGGAGCATGTTACCCTAAGCATAAAAGTTAAAAGATGCATGTGAAAAATAGCAACTGAAAAATGTACGTTGAAATATGAGTTTTGAGGAGCCTGGCTGCGCGACATGTCTTGGGGTAATAAAAAACACCTGTCGAATAAAGGACGACAAGAGTTACAGGACAGTCACAAGAGCTTGTGTGATTCATTCTTAAAACAGAATAGTTATAAAAGATACGTAAAGACAAAATGCTCCAATGCCGGTAAAGGCAAAAAGGAAGAGTCAGCTCCTAAAATTAATTTTGGAATAGCGAATTCGCTATTCCAAAGAGTCCTTCAAAAAGAACTTTCAACAAGGTGGATTCTTAATAGCTATTTGATCGTCGAATATCGTAGACATACAAAATAGTTCTCGTGAATACGGAATAAATTAAGTTCATTAAAAAAACTAAAATAACGAAGGCAGACAAAATTGCCTTTTGCCAACAAAAGGCGCAATTGCATGTTGGGAAAGATGGAGATAAGACTCAAGAGACGCGCTTCGCTGTCTTTATGTCTTTGCTGTCTCTCTATGTGTTTTTTAGCGTAGTGTGCTAATTTTAACGTATCGTGAGCGTGAAAACTACGTGACCGATGATTAAGTTTCCACGTTACGCAATGTGGGAGTGAGTAACTAACAATTTTGCGGAAAGGCTCCGCGGTCTATCAGGCGATTCGTCAAACTGTAATACCCGGAAAGGCAGTTTTGTTTTAAAGGGCCAGAAAAAGGGGCAGGCGGGAAATAGACTGGAGACGTATTGCCGAGGATTGAGCGAGTATCCCCATCTTCGATGCTTTCAGGCGAGGGCGGTGAACTGTTCCCGGAGAGAAAGTAGGAACCGGTAAATATTGTGCCCTCTAAATCACAATCTTAATCTCTGAGTGTCTCCCCTCCCCTTCCGACCCATTGAACTTATGTGCACTCACGGACGCTTCTGGTTCTTGCCTCACCTCCATCTCTACTACTTCACCATCATACCGTTTACATTTTGAAGTGTCTTAAGTTACTCAGGACATCCCCGTCCGATTGAGATATTGTTTGTCTGCGTAATGTCGAGCGCTAAAACAAGCCGTTCAGTAAAAAGGGAGATAAGCCATTCTCAACCCGCTACTATCAAGAAGACAGACATTGATCCAGAGCCGATCCCTCAGTTAGTGCAGCAGGACGGTCCGTCTATTACAAAACATTTCCCCATTAGCTACGACCATCAGGGCAATCCTAGTGTTGTAGGGAGGAGGCGGAAGGCACGAGAATGAGGGGTTTGTTGTGCGCAGAACCCAGAGTTGTCCTCTGAGGAAGCAGTGGCCACTGGCGAAGCCAGCGCTGGTGTATCCTGCGTCGAGTCATGCCTGAGAGTCCTTGGGACAGTGGTGACAGCAGTTTTTGCAGACTCGTGGGCCATGCTCAAGTGGTGGCCAGTCAGTGTTTGTTGCATTTGACGAGGGGTGGTATTCCAGTGACTTCGGTTGTGGTTGCAGGAGGGAGGTGCGTTCAAGTGGCCGCATGGGCAGCTGCGGGTGTTCGGGCGCAGGTGTTCCCGAGCTGTCTGTCCTGTGACTTCAGGTCAGCGCGTCTTGCACGGCTCACTGCAAAAAGTTATGGCAACACGGTTATTACTGTCTTCCAAAAAACGACCATATTATCGAGATAAATTAGGCATTGTTGTGGGTACACATGAGTTAACACGATTTGTATCGTCCTCCGGAATTTAGCGGTGACATTGCACAAGCCGAAAGGCATGGTCTCAAATTCAAACAGTCCTTGGGTGTGAAGAAAGGCCGTCTTTTGGTGATCAGTCGGTTAAACCTCGACTTGCTAATATCCCGACTTTAGGTCTAGCGTTGGAAACCACTAGGCACCCACAGGAGTGTCACGAGTGCACTCGATACGGTGCAGAGGTAAGCACTTACGAGTTGTAACCACAGTGAGTTTGCGGTAATAAACACAAAACTCAACTTATGGTCCTTTTAGGGCACTAGGGTGAGAAGCGATGCCCAAGGTGACTTAGACTGTCTTATGTCACCAAAGGCGATCATGTCCCTCACCTCTTTTTCAATGGTGCTGGAATCTGACAGGGGGCTCCGTCGATGTCGTTCGATGTGGTCCGGGAAAATTTGCGCGCTCTGATCCGCAATTATATCGATCTGCGGCAGTCTTATTCCGGCGGCGCTGAAATCCCCCACTGTTCGAATGGTTGATATGACAGTTCGAAATATGAGGGTTTGGTTGGTTTGGCTGTCGTGACTTCAATACATGTCGAAATTTCTCTGTTCGTCCTATGACCACCTGTAGGCCTGATGAGAGAATGATAGGGAGTGAATGTCTAAGATTCGGTGCATGTAACCCTTTTATGAAGTGATGCAGTGCGATATCATCCTTATCGCCCACTGTAAGAGATAGATAGGTCCTACCTACATCGTCAGACAGGTCTTCGGCAAGATGCCTGGGAAAATCGCAACGTTGGTGTCGTCCTTCAAAAGGTCGGTTAATGGCCTAGCCAACTATTTTTCGGTCGCAGTATTTGCGCAGCCGTTCGCACAGACAATTGAACGGCGTAGACGACGACAAACATGCGGCCAGGGCCCATATAAGATGTTTAGGACCCAGTCCGACTGCGTCCACCTCATAGACTCCTTTCAGGAAGAATTTAGTGCATGGGAACCGGTTTTTAAGCTCTCCTTTTCAATGTATTTTGGAACAGATGGCGGAAAATAAGATAGAAGCGCAACTCTGTCGGCCGAGGACGTCAAGGCTTACACACCCCAAAGTTTGGAAACGCTGAGAAGAAATCCTGGCGGAGGGAGACCTGAACAGAACTGTTAACATCCCTCCAAACTAATCTAAACACAGAAGAAGGAAGTACGTCAAATATGAGATATCGTATAATAGAACGACATGGATAAGGAGAATGTGTATAACAAACGTTAATGTACATGTGAAATGAGGAAGAGCGCATAGGTGACCTGTCTGGATGGATAGGTGACCCTGACATATTAGCTAAACAGCCGATGGGGATGCAGCGCTGTGAGCAACTGCAGAGAGGGGCCGAGGTGGGGTCCGACGTTGAGTAGGCGAGAGACGAGAGCGAGAGTGCGTTGCGGGGTTGGGGGTGTCGGCGATAGCGAGAGGAAGGGACACCGGCCGTCTTCACCAGCGCGCGGTTACACCATCTCAATGCCAGGTCCGCGCCAAAAGTGTTACATCATTCGAACAATCCTGTTCGTGCCAAGGGGCGTTACACCTCTACTGCGGTCCTGTAGGAATGGGTTCGCAGATGACAATAACCCCACCGTTATAACCGTTACTCCTTTCAGTTCAGTTCAGTTCACTTTATTGAGGGAAAATGGCGTAGGCTTTGTGTACCCTATCTGAAACGTAAAAATGTGTGGTGTACAGAGGAATTTTCAGAACTGAAATGCTTTGGGAAATGAGAAGTCACGGAACCCTTATCCTTGGTTGCACCGCTCTGGTTTTCGTCTGTCATCTCGAAACAGTCGGCTTCATAACGCCAACACACTGTGCCACCATTGCATAACAATCGATACGAGTACAAAAGCATGTGAACCAAGGGTCGAGCTGTTTACTTAACTGTCAATCGGAACACAACTGCAATAATCCCACTCAGTAATTTAATTACGAGAATTGTGTACTTATTTCTGAGACAACAAACTGACGTGGCAACACTAGCAATAGACTCTGTCCCTCTTTCGACTTAACCTCGATTTTCTGCCCGGTCTTAAAAACTCCGTCTCAGGGACTTAAACTACTCTAAACTTCTTGTCGCGTTTGCCTGATATGCAAACTTGATTCTCGATTGTTTAGTTGCTCTAATAAGGGTTAAATCGGTGGAAAGATATTGCACGTTCCTTTGAAAAGTTTGCTCGTCCTTGGTCCGTATTGTGCACTTCTTATTTTATATGCGTTAATTAGGAGCTTGTTTCGTGCATTAATTAAACGGCCTATATTTTGAATCAGACCATATATGCTGAAATCCATTGACTACAGGGAGATTCTTCACGTGTTTCGTGTCGGCCGCGCTGACGATTTTTCATACCTTATCTGTGTTTGGTTTTTGTGTCCCTGTTGCGTGTGGAGTGCGCGATGGCCTTTTCGAATAGCACCTGTTCATCATCTGTGCAGAGCAGCTGACGGGTGATTTTTAGCAAGTGGTATGTCGACGTTCTGGTGAAGGCATATAGTGCAATGTTGGTTGGAGTTAGCCTTTTGTCTACCTTGAGATTCCAGTAAAATCATAATTTTACGACGCAAAACATAGACCATGTCGGCTGCCGGCCCAAACTGGGCTGCGTACCGATGGGCATGCCCATGTTATCGTCCGCAGCCCAGTTTGGGCCGTACAAATTAACTACCATCCCGGGGGCAACGTTGCCCCCGGGATGGTAGTTAATTTGTACGGCGGTATCCATCTCTAGTCGAGAGCAGATAAGGCCTCGATAAATTGCCAACAATATACTCCATGCGTTAGTACTGCCTTGGCTGGTGTTTTCTGTAGGCTATTGGTCTTTGAACTCCCTTCCACCTGTCAAGGAGCCGATGACCTATAATTTCGTTAACACAGACCTATCTTCATAAATGTCTTTTACTTTAGACATAAAAGACGGAAAAAAGTCATCTTGGGAGATCTTCATAGGTGAGTGCGAGTATTCACAGTGAATGTTAGGCACTGTTTGAGGAGCTAACTGAGCTCCGCTTCACACTTTTCTACGCCGTTGACATACCGTTTTATATCCGTCAGTACTTTCAATGACCACGTTCATGTCTCATGAGCTTCAGCATACGCTACAAAGCCCACATGCGAACTGACGGGCCAAGCAGATCACTGTTTGTAAACAACATAACTTTGTGATTGATTCATCTAGTGTTAAAGTGGAAAATCATACTTGCTATTGGGAGTAAAACTAGGCCCTTCAGCATTATGGTTTACGTCCCACTACTTTGTGTTAGTGTGTGGGTTTTGTTACGTGCGAGCA